ATCTCCGGCCACCGTAAGCGCGGGCCTGCGGACGGCGAGCATGGGTGGCTCCCCGTCCGACCAGAAACAGACCCGAGCGTACGGCGCGTCGCGTTCCGCGCGCGCCTCAAAGAGCCATCAGACCACCACAGATGGGGCCCAATACGGCCGATGCCGATTCGGAGTCGCGGAGAACCTAACGGGTAACCGGGGCTCCGGCTCGACGTGCAGGAGAAGGAACGGGGTGGTTTTTAGTCAGCAAGAGTCTGACACTCCCTCCCGCCTCACCCAGGCGGGGGCAGTCATTCGATGATTTTCCCCCCTTAAAAAAAAAAAAAAAAAAAAATGCTTACCCGTTCAGTGATAAAAGGCGTGATATTATGTCATATTAGGTTACGACTAATTACTGTGTTGACTCTAACTCCTGGCTAGAAACAGAAAAGGCTGTTAATGTTTTACCATAGATTTTTAACGTTTTCGGAGTTTAATGTAGCTGGAAATTAGTACAGTTACATATCTCGTAAAAAAGTCACGCGAGAAAGCTATATCTAAAGCAAAAAAAATCTAAAGTAATTTCAATGACGAGTTAATATATAGATAACTAGAGATACATAAAGTTGAAAGACGCCATTCACAGACAGAAATTATATAAAAAGCCTTTGTAAGAACGGAAGCCTTTCAAAAGGTCAGCAAGAATTTCGTAAAGACATCACGAGTAGTCGAAATTGAACACAGACGAAGACATGGCAACCCCAGGTCTATCTCAGTGGCCAGAAATTAAGTTTTATAGTTTACAGAATTCCTTCAATCCTAGGATTAAAGTTTCACAAAACGATACTGCGACTTTCAAAATATTAAATTACAAATCAAAAATTTCTAATTCCAGCTACGTCTGGTATAATTTTTAGTATTTAAATAAGAGTTAGAATTTTCCAATTAAAACTAAGTTTTCATAGAACAAACAGAAGTAATGAGATTTATGATGAACTACCGAACAAATCCTTCAGTGTCTCGTTTCAGACCTTCTTGTTTAGTTTACGTATTTTTAATTTTAATTTATTTCTGTTTACTGAATATTTATTGGATTTTTATCTTACATTCCGTGAGGTTGAAGTACCTTGATTATTTTGTCTTCTAGACTTTTCTTAAGTCTCATGGCTTTGTTAGCAGAGTAACGTATATACGTAATACAACTTTTGCTTAGGAAGAATTTTTTTTTAAGGGGGAAAATCACCGAATGAATGCTCCCGCCTGGGTGAGGCGGGAGGGAGTGTCAGACTCTTACTAACAAAAAACCACCCCGTTCCTTCTCCTGAACGTCGAGCCGGAGCCCCGGTTACCCGTTAGGTTCTCCGCGACTTGCATAGGAAGAATGACATGAATAATACTTTTAGAAATCTTTGGAGGTAGAAAAAAATTTAGATCGGAATGTTAAAAGCATGTCGAGTGTATAACATAACCTTATTTGTTCGAGATTCGTCACACCATCAATACCTTTGTTCAGGCAATCAATATTTCTTTGTTACTTTTTTGATTTGAGTATTTTTGCCACGATTATCTAGTGGTTATAATTACTTTTTCTAAGTTTGCCGTTATATATTTGTTCTTAAGCCAAAAGTTTTCATCTGGTTTCTAATAATTCATGCACAATACATTTTAATCTTTTTTTTTTGCTTTTATTTCATTTTACTATCCCGTACTATTTCCATAGCAAAAGATGATGTAATCGGGTCTTATAATATAAAAAATAAGACAAAAAAATTCCTAACTCCAGTGTTATATGGCATTAATTAGAAAGTGCGATTAATCCTTGTCGTACCCACTTCAACACTATCTTTGATTGTCGATCGAGATAACAATCGAGCTCTCTTCGATGTAGGGATTATTTATGTCAAATAACAATTTAGAGGTATTGGTAGCTGCACTAAAATACCAAGACTTATGAGTTTAAGTTTTAAAATGAGAAACTTTAGCTTGAAATCAAGACTAAGTACTTCAATAAAAAAGTGATAAAAGATACCAACTTTCAATGGAAACACGTTCCATTTAAAGAAAAAAATGATTTGAAAAAGAAAAGTGTTTTCGGTTAAAGTAAATAAAATATTTTGGATTAAATATGTCTTATAAAACACTCGGAGTGTTGAAGAAACTGAGATTTTTATACTAAATTATATTTTCCAAGTTTTTGTACAAAATGTTACATTTTAATGCCCACTTTGAGCTCTTAAAGTGACGCTGTCACATTATAATTTTGAAAGGTTTTTACATTCAAAGTAAATAATAATTGCTTAAGAAATAAAACGTTAACTAATACATTACATATTTTACGTTGCTTCCATCCATGCGCCACTTTGCAACCATTCGCAAACTGCAAGGGCGCCAATTGAAAACCAGTGTTGGGTATTTATTGAGCTCAGCTCATACTAAGTTGGCAAACCCTTTCGTTCGGGGTATGATGCCACTGTAGCGACACATGTCACAAATCAACGGATGACGTCAGAAGAGTCCTACATCGCACATGTAAAGTTTACAAGCGAATAAACATGGATAGAAAAACCCGATGAACAACTATTAGGCAGAAAGCCCGCCAGGCACAACCACCTCGCCTGGTCGGAGGATCCTTCTTTTCCGATCTTAGGGAGCTATACTCTCTGTTCTCTAAACCACCTTATTTTATATTATTATTTTTTTGTTATTATTTTATTAGTTTGTTTTAATATTTACTCTGCTCTACTGCCTCGTTGGCCAAGTGGTCGCAAGTGCGACTACCGGGTAAGGGGTTTCGGGTTCGATTCCCGGGTCGGGCATGGAACCCGATAGTAGTAGCACGGAGTCTGGAGTTGTGCCCGGTATATGATAATAGGCTCACTCCTTATTACATGGGACTCATAACATAAATAGTGAAAAGTGGGCGTTACACAGTACAGTGGCATTAAATGCCGTAAATGTGCACCTCTGCCTACCCCTTCGGGGATAAAAGGCGTGTTATGTATATTATATTTACTCATTTATATTTTATATTCAGTACATCATGCCTAATGGCTAATAAATTATTTTTCTTTCTTTTACATTTCAAGTCCCTGTTTTTTGTGTGTTATTGAAAACAAATTATTTTTAGGACCAAGGAACATTTGCTGGGTTTCACCAAGGATGTATGACTCGTCTGATTTTGAGAAGAGTGGTCAATCGCTGCCGCTGTCTGCCTTTTGATTATACTTGTAAGTTTCTAGACATAACATACCATGTCATTATATTTATTGTTCTGATACATATACGTTATAAATAATACCACGGCCTCACAGAAAACCGACGTAAAACAACGTTGTGTGAGTGAGGTTACCGAAGGCTCAATCACCCCCCTCGCCAATACCCGAATCCGCAACAATCCTCAAATCCCTAAAAGGCCGGCACGCACTTGTAATGCTTCTGGTATTCCAGGTAACCACGGGTGGCGGCTATTGCTTACCATCAGGTGATTCGTATGCTCCTTTAAGGCTTATCTCATCAAAAAAAGATAACTGGCTGATGAGTCTGGTGACACTGTAGTCGTTACCATTTTAACTATTGTCCAAACTGTAATAATAATTTGAATATCGACAACTGAGTCTGTCATATTTTCTGTTTATAGCAATTACATCTTTCTTTCATTTATCCATATGTAGGAGTGCTCGATTCAGGTATAAATTTTTGTTTTACTTATTTCCATCTATCTTTGTATACAAGCTTCCTGAGTGTGTTTACAATTGCTGTTTTTGCTTGTTTTTACTACTCTCTAATTTAATCGCTGCAGTCGCCCTCTGTCGCTATTTTATATGATAGGTATATATGAAAGGTGTCGGATTTTGTACAAATATTAATTAAAATAATGTTACAGTAAAATGTAAAAAATGTGAAAACCAGAGTTATGTAAAATTTCATTATTTTTAAACGTTTTTCTCTGGAAAAGATTTATCTGAATTTGACACCTGTATAAATTAATAACAAATTCTGTACAATTTATATGTAAGTACGAAACTCGTCACTTTTCCTAGAATATGAATTAGACCATTTGCAAAAATTTAACTTTTTTTAATAAAACTTTTAGATTGGAATAAATTATTTTACAGTATTAATGTGCGTTCTATCTGCAAAAATTGATTTAACTTATAAACTGGAGATAAATATTAAATTATAAAGTAATAAAACTAAACGAAGAAATGTTTTATCTAACTTGGAACCATGTCAAAGTTTTGGATGACAATCTTTTTGTTGAAATGTCATGATGACCTTTACACAAATCTTACATTTTACTTATAAGGATTTTTTTACAGAATATAAAAACAGCATAAAGAACTAGAAACATATTTTTGTTTAGATTTTATATGTAACTAGCTGGCCCGGCAAACTTCGTACCGCCTATAAATGTTTTTTCTCACCTTATAAATCTTCCCTGGACTCCTCGGTTCAGCCGTTATTCAGTTTTAGCGAGACTAACGAACGAAAATTGATTTTTATTTATATAGATAGATAGATTAACCACTTAGATTCTTTAAAGACGTCTTAAAATTTCAGAAAAGAATATGATTAAAACATTTAAGTAGATTATTTTTTGATGGGATACGTTGGGTAAACGAGCAGACGGATCACGTCATGGTAAGCAAGCGGCGCCGCACAATAAAAACACCAGAGGCGTTACAAATGCGGTACCTGCCTTTTGGGGATTAGGAATTTGAGGATGTTTGGGGATTCGGAGATTGGGGTGATTGGGCTTCCGATAATTTCACTCACACTACAAATCATAACACAAACGGTGTTTCACGTCGATTTTCTGTAAACCTCTGTCCCAGGGACACATTGTTATTTTTATTCAATCGTATGTATTTCTTTCTAATTCCAATAATAACTGTTTTATTTAACCTTCACCCGCGTTGTTTTCCTTTGTGCCTAGATTATTTGTAAGCTTTACTTATTTCTCTATTTGTGCTTCTTTCAGCTAAAGAACTGGATGTAGAAGACTTTACTATATGTTCATGGGAACATTATATCTGCATATATCAAACAATAGGTGAGTCATTCGTCGTATGTTCGTATTAACACTACAACACTACTTACCTATAGAGGAGAAGAGGTCTTATAATAAAAACGATGCCGCTGTGCTGGTTCAAATTATGAGACCCCCTTATACATATTATTCATCATCATCATCATCATAACATTTACCCCCGAATGGGTTGGCAGTGGTGCACACTATGCCACTGTACAATGTAACATCCACTTTTTACTATTTATGTTATGAGTCCCATGTAATAGGGGGTGAGCCTATTGCCATATACCGGGCACAATTCCAGACTCCGTGATACTACTGAGGATTTTTTAAAAACCCAGTAATACTTTGCCCAACGCGGGAATCGAACCCGAGGCCCTGCAGTCGCACTTACGACCACTCGGCCAACAAGGCAGTCCTACATATTATTACGTTTTCTATTATTTTGTAATATTACATACATGAGTCCATCCTCCTATGTATAACATAACGCCACATCACATGATATATTAAGAGCTATTCTTCCAAAACGTAAGTATTACCATCACATCCACAGCCTATTTTAAGTGGCCACTGCTGCCCAAAGGCCTCTTCTCGCACGGAGATAGTTTGAGCATCACCACGCTTTCTCAATTCAAGTATAGCATAACTTATAATAATAACTTTATTATACATCAACCTAAAATCCTAATCTAAAATCTTTTCGACCCTATAAACACACTCAGATGCCTAAATCAACATTAAAATTTGTGATTTTTTTTTTAAACTTCCAAGAAATAGTAAGTCTCTTCTTAATATTTACATTATGATGAATACAAATGAAATGTTTTGTTTCTGGAAATAGGGATACTTACGTAGCTAACAGATCTGAATAAATTATATGAGACAGATGAACACGGCAACGAACACTTAATTGTAAGAGACATCGTTACACAAAATATTCTTATTTTGTACAAAAATATTGTAAATGTCTTGAGAAATTTACAGGCCTCCATAAAATTCTTGATTGAAGATTAACTTGTGTCGGATAATCGTCTATTTTTAAGTCAAAGTTAAAATAACCTTTTCAAACGTCCATTACAAAGTGTTTTTTGATCTATATTACGAAAATAAATAAAACACAGTCGCTTTTAACCGTCTGTGTGACATATTTAGACCTCGAAAATTACGCAACTAATTTTGATGGGATTTGTTTAATAGATGAAGTGATTTTAAGAGGAAGGATTGTATGTACTAAATGATATAACTGAGAATTTAACGAGTGCAAAACCGTATGTAAAAGCGGGTTTATTATAAACGTAGGTAGTAGGAAAGTACATACATAACATCACGCCTTTTATTACCGAAGGGTTAGGCAGAGGTGCACATTATGCCACTGTATAACGTACCACCCACTTTTCACTATTTATGTTATAAGTCCCATGTAATAGGGGGTGAGCCTATTGCCATATACCGGGCACAATTCCAGACTCCGTGCTACTACTGAGTTTTTTTTTTAAAACCCAGTAATACATTGCCCGACCCGGGAATTGAACCCGAGACCCCTTGCCCGGCAGTCGCACTTGCGATCACTCGGCCCAACGAGGCAGTCAGGAAAGTAGAGGTATTAAATTAAACTATCAACGTAGTAGGAAATTATTAAACTATAGATACTTAGTAAAAACGTCGAAATTTATATTATTCTGTTACTAATTAATTTCCTTTTCTTCTAGATTTTTCCGAGTAACGGTTAGCACTAAGTCATAACAAGATGACAATAAACGACGGCATTCGTCTTCTAGGGAAACCTTTTCCTAATGGCCAATTCATTAGTACTAGCATAGTAGATACGTATATAATACTAAGACAATACTACAAGATAATACACCGATATTATTTAGGTATATTTAGGTACAAAAAAAACAATTTGTCGGTCTTTCAAATATAATTCGAGATTATTCTTAAAACATCTGAGAGATACAAAAGACGTGCTTAAGTACTTGTCCGTCATAGCTCGGGGATTTCAATTCTGTTTGACAAATTATTGTGTTATTTACTTTGTCCTTTTGTATATGAGAAATATATATTATGATTCTTTTATAAAATAGGAAAAAAACTGTCTTCGATACCCCTCTTTTTTAGGTCGATTAAGACTTCGACTGCCAATAAAAAACTGTTGAAGGTAAATTCTCCGCTAACGCCGGTCACCGGTGACCCCCATGGCGTTTAACGTGTTAATTAATATACTGAAACCTTTTCTTAAGTTAGAAGCACTTTTTTGAAAACCGCATCAAAATCGGTTCGGTCAATCGCGAAATAGTCGCGTACAAATAAACATACACACATACATACAGGTCAAACTCAGAACTCTAGAAGCACCTTTTTTTGAAGTCCGTTAAAAATACAACTTAACCTCTTATCTGTCGATATATAAGACACAATAGAAAACTTATTATGTCTAAACTTAGATCTACGCTCGCTACGCTATCTAGAGGTGATGCACCTTAATGAATGTCGTGCTGGTCCGGGCCACCACGACATTACGGACGATTTAAAACACCCGCTTCTCATGCATGAGGGTGAGAATTCAAATCCTACTAACGGCAAGTATCAATAAGACTTTCTACAAATTATGTGTACTTTATAAGATTATTTAGACACCACTGACAAACGGTGAAGTAAAAACATTGTGAGGAAACCTGGACTTATAATTTCTAACTACAAGTTCGAAACTGGCAATTTCCCACACTCACATTGAGCAAGCGTGGTGATTAATTCACTCATACCTTCTCCGTGCGAGAAGAGACCTTTGTTCAGAAGTGGCCACTTATAAGCTGTTGATAATGATGATGCTAATGAATGGACTATTTTGTTGAAGAAAACATTAAAAACGCTCTTCAATACTTATTACACATTCTCAGTGCTCGGCTTATCTAGCGTAGACCAGCCTTAAGATGATATAAATCTATTACAGCCAGTATCTGGTATTAACCAAAGCCTTAACGAACTATCTTTAGTTCAAAGGCTCCGTAATCAAGATTAATACCAGTGATTATAATCTTACGTAGGACTGAAAAAAAATAAATATTTCTTAGTGTTCAATATAATAATATTTTCTTTGGTTCCAGAGATGATTGAAGTCGACATAAAGGATATAATATCTGATAGTGAGTGCTACCAGAGATGTGATTACGTGGAGTATGATAGTGAAGTGGAATTTGTGAAACATCAAAGACATTTGACGTGAGTTTAAGAAGTAGTATTTAATACTAGCTTCTATCAGTGGCTTCGCCCGGCTTTTATTTGTTATTCAAGACCATAATTTGTATGTCGGTGGATTAATGATTACGACTTGCATTGATTTTACTGACATAAATTAGATATAATTACATTTATATCAACTCCCTGCCGTGGTTTTCCCAGTGGGCTACAACATGGGGTTCTTCAAGAGGTGAGTGAATAGGTTTCTTAAGGATCGGTAAGACGCATGTAATGCCCTAAGTGTTGCATGCGTACATAGGCCACGGTAACCGCTTACCATCAGGTGAGCCGTGTGTAATTTTGTCACCGTCGTGGTATAAAAAAATATATTAGATGGACAGAGCACATGGCGAATCCACACACCAAAGTTATGACAGATGGACAATGCGCTCTGTGACAGCAGTTTACCTTATATAGTGTTGGGGCCATCATTTACTAATTTAGTTATGTTCCTACCTATAACAAGAATGTTCCCTTGTTTCACATCAAAAAGGGATTAGCCCTTTAGCTGTTTTGATGTGAAAGAAAAACAAAATCACATACCAACTTTCGCATTTATAATACTAGTAGGATTTTCTATACATACCTATACAAGTTCAAGTATAAAAATTTTTCATTCCTTTTTGCTCCTAGTGGGTTTTGTTAAACTAGAATACGAATCAATATGCCTAATTAGGTATCTAATACAGTAGTGGTCACACTACTAAAGAGTCATCTTTTGATACTACAATCGTCTATATTGTTTGATCCCACAGATAAATAATATTAACAGATACTCACACACAAATAAATAATATTAACAGGTACTACAATTAAAATAAAAGCGCTACACACAGCTTTTCCCCATGTCAAAAAATATTCAATTTCATTCAACTACTTCACTAACACAATAACAATGACGTAAAAGAAAATCATTCCTTTGTTTGGTTAAAAAACTTCAACAACACAACCCATTACTTCGGCATACACAAGTAACATCCCTTATTCCAGAAACTCTTATAATACTGAAATTGGTTCTCAGAAAAAACAACATTGAATTTGTCATAGATCAATCTAGAAGGCATAATATTTCAGGTTAGAAAAACATAGTAAATCCTATTTGTCCCAAAGGACCTATATACCGTCTGTACCAGTATATTTAATGTCCCATGGGACATTAAGGCTAACATTGCTTCCTTGTACTTTTACTTAGAATACACAAGCAGGTTTCCGGTTGTATCCTATACTAATATTGTAAGGTCGAAGGTATTTACTATTTTCTGTATTAATCAACAACGTTGCTGTGTCAACTATACAATACTAGCGCCTCTACTCGACTTCACGTGGGACGTGATATAATAATTCCCCATTTTTCTAGCGAGATTTTCTTTCATCTTGAGAGCATAACAACAAGATAACAATAAAAATATTCAATATCGTTTTCAAGATATAACGTGACTACATGAAAGATGTAATATATTACTCAATTTTAATGCTACCCTACTAATATTATACAAACATAAAAAAGCATATATACGGTCGAATTGAGAACCTCCTCCTTTTTTGAAGTCGGTTAAACATTAATACGTATATTAGAGGATAAAGTATGTTTGTTACTCCTTTACGTCTTAACGGCTGAAAGAGTCGGGATAACATCTGGGACAGGAGTAAGTTACGGTCTAAGATAACACATGGGATAGGCCTGTTATCCTAGGAGGACAAGGGCGAAGCCGCTGGCAGAAACTAGTTAAAATATATGAACAACAAAGCAGGAAAGCCATAAGACCACGTCGTATTTGCAGTTAGAATTGTTAATAATATTCCTGTGTAAGATTGATATATGTACATAATATTTTGCCCCCGAAGAGGTAAGCAGAGGTGCTCATTACGGCACTTAATGTCACTGTAAAATGTAACACCCAGTTTTCACTATTTATGTTGTGAGTCCCATGTATATTATATGCTTATGTATTTATGTTATAAGTAAAATTGATATGCAAACTTATTCTAACTAAACAAATGGGTGGATTAATAATCTTTTAAAGTATTAATCGTTAAGTAAAGAAAAATCAAGAAAAGATAATGCTAACAACAAATTGTTGGACAAAATGTTTCTCTCCATAATTTCAAAAGCTAAAATCCGAAATTCATCTTCCATTTTTTCACCTTCCAGGGCACTGAATGGAACTCTTAGTCGTGTTTTAGTACATTTCAGTCAGAATACTTGCATGAAGTATCGAAGGGAGGTGCTGTACACTTGGGACCAGATGTTAGGTGAGTTCGTGACGAGACCTTAAACTTTTTTATTGGTCAGTTTCTGAAGATACTGTAGAAGCAAGTTTTTGAAGCAAAAGTTTTGTATTTTAAGTGCTTGGCGATAAGATTACGGATGGGTAATATTTATAGAGATTTTTTTTTATACTCTAAAATAAAACTAAACCCTTCAAAGTATTTAAAGTCTAAGTTAAAAATTTGGTAAAAATAAAAGGGGAACTCCTAAAATTAAGCTCATTATTTGTAACTTAATGTTAATGTTAAAGATATTTATATATAAAGTAAAGCAACTAAAACAGAACCGAACACTTTTATCTTAGAAAATATTCAAATATCAACCTAATTAAAAGTCTTTCGTATAACAAATAACAAAAGCAAAAAATCTTCACTTCACTTAAAAAATATGTAGGTCAAAATAAAATGAAGCTTGTATTTTTAGTTTAAAGTATAAAATCGCTTGTTTGTACCTCTATATTGTGAAGTAAATACATTATCGCAGTTGTTAAACAAGATGGCCGTAGTATAATAGGTGTTACCTTCGTTTTCAAGTAAAAATATTAATGTTTTTCCTGTCATAAGGATCGTGAATTTAGCTCATTAAAGCACGCTTCTACATAAAATACTTAATGAATGAGGAAAATCATCGTTTACATAAAAATATTTTGTTAATGTAGTTAAGGGATTTTTCCAAAATATGTTGGTGTAATTCTCTTAATCATTGGACGTGGATATCTAAAGATGTACATAATACATTAACAAAGTTATGTGTCCAGATTAATAAATAATTTTCTCGAGGATTCCTTATTTTCATTAGGAAAAACTTCCTGGAAACAATGTTTTATTTACTTTTATCTCTTGTATTGGCACACTTTTATGAATTTCTTATTACCTACTGTCGTGATAAATAAAGATATACATACGTTGACTGTAATATTTAAGTACCTTTAATGCTTTCTTTAATACAAAATTCTTGTTTACTTTAAATCTCTGAATCCCCAATAATTCTCAAATTCCTAATCCCTAAAGGGCCGGTAACGCACTTGTAACAGTACTGGTTTTCCGGGTTGACGTCGATTTCTGAACATCAGTTGATCCATTTGCTCGGTTACCGGCTTATCCCATAAAAAAGAATAATCAACTGAGCTTTACAAACAATATCCTTACTAATATTATAAATCTGAAAGTGAGTTTGTTTGTTTGTTTTTTTGTTCCGCTTTCACACCATAACTACTAGACCGATTGCTTTGAATTTCTGCAGACGTAAAGATAGAAGTCTGGATTAAATAATAGGGTACTTTTAATCCCGGAAAAATTGATATTCTCGAGGAAAAACGAAATTATTGGTATAGATGGCGCTGTGTGTATTGATATATTATGTCACTTGGGTAAAAGCTAGTTTACAGTAATTAAAAATGTTTTAATATTTCAGCAAACCTCGGCGGTATCTTCGGCCTCTGTCTTGGTGGCTCTGTCATCAGCGTTATAGAACTAATCTGGTTCCTTCTAGAAGTAATCTACGCAGTTCTATGCTCCTTCTGCAAGAACTATATAGCGCCAAAAGAAAAAGAGAAGGGAAAAGAAAAAGTTTTTGTTATTACTCATAAGGAAATGCTTTCAAAGAAGACTTCTGGAAAGAAATTAGGAAAGTATAAGTTTATGAATTAAATCATTATTAGTTTACAAGCAGCACAATAAAATAAATAAAGCACATAAAACCTAATTTAATTTCGTAAAAATCCTTTAAATTGCGTCTATCGTTCTCCATTAGGTACAAACCCTGGATTTCCTTGCCACTAATCCCTTGAACGTGTTGGGACTTCAATTATTTAAGACCTTCGAAGTAATATTCTCGACTCTGTAACGATTCAAATAGTATTTGAATTTATTAATTAGGTCAGTTGCTCTCACAGATTAAGATAGGATTTTCTTTAATTCACAGGATAACGGCCAAATAATGAAAGTATTACCTATATAGAATAAGTCTTTCTAGTAAAAAAAATACATAATCATTATTTAAATAAATTGTATTATAATCGCCGTTAATTCCTATAAATACGCTTTAGCTTACCGCCAATAATATCTATCTATAATTTTGATACTAACTACATACATTGGTTCAGAAAGAAATGTCAAAATAAATTAAAGTCCTAACTAGTCAGGCTGTGGCGTAAATCCAATTTAAGGACATTGGATTTTGGAATTACAAGATTAACGAATTGTGTGCTATGCCCTATATAGTTCCCAGTAAAAGAAATAAATCTAATTTCCTAAGTATTTATTAATTTATTTATTATAAAACCAACAGCTACGTACAAATGGGAAGCAAATAGTAGCGAAATAACATAGGAAAATTGTGATAAATTATAGATATTACATTACTCAATTAATGAAAACACTCACAATCCAAGCAAATATAAAATATCCACCAATTCATGAATAAATAATGAGTTATTTAAACGGATCAACTGGGCTTTGTGGAACAATCTCGTTGGTATTGAAACACAATCCGTTCAATTGATTGTTTATTGATGGTGCAAACAGTCGGTAGTTTATGTACCTATATACTGAAACAGCTGCCTCATTGCTGCATCACGGGTTCGATTCCTCGGTCGGCCAATATATTACTGGCTTTTTTTTTAATTTCTCAGTAACAGCACGATGTCCGGAATTGTGTCCGGTATATGGCAATAGGTTCACCCTCCATTAGATGGGACTTATAAATAGTAAAAGGTGGATGTTACATAGTACAGTGGTATTAAGTGTCCTAAATGTGCACCTCTGCCTACACCTTCGGGATAAAAGGCGTGATGTTATTTTATATCATACTGAAACAACTAATGTGCCTATAATGACCATTTTCTCTGAGCTATGGGAAACTACTGAATAAGTTTCGTAGAAACAATTAATAAAATTATGTAATTATGATTCCTAAACTAACAGAGGTGACACTTACCGAGATTTTGGTTTTCGGCACGTACACGTGAAGTATTATTTTAGGTGCTCCCTCATGTTAGTAACTCTTAGTTCGGAGATGATTTGTGAAATTTCACAAATACTTTAAAATTACAATAAAAATGCTTTTTCTTGGTTCCGGAAATCATTATAAGTTTTGTCAATGTTTAAAGAGTTTAGTCGGTAGTAGCACCGGAGTCTCTGAAATTTTGCCCAGTAGGCACCTACAGTACTCAAAAAACTTTTTCATTTTTCATTTCATCATCTCCAATGGCACGCCATTGACCTCGATCTTAGGGACCCGACACTTGGACCCTAACAAATCGACTGGTCCACCAAAATTAAAATGGCGCAGCGAGCTATGAAGAGGGCTATGCTTGGAGTATTTCAGAAGAATCAGATCCAACAGAGAACTAAAGTTACCGACGTAGCCCAAAGTATTAGCAAGCTGAAATGAAAGTGGACCGGTCAAAAAACATAAAACTACGTGATATATAAAAAAAAATCACCAATTGCTTTCAAATCTCTTCCAGGGTCTACGGATAACTATGATGTTGTTTCTTCATTAATAGGAAATTCTTAGAAAAAGTATCTGGTTCCTTATTTCAGAAGTTCCATGAATTAGTGGAGTTTCAAAAATATTCATATTAGAAACAAGATTTATTGTACGGAAGTTTGTCTAGCAAATTGGACTATCGTGTTCTATTATTTATTTTAGAGGAATATTCCTATATTAATTTTTATACAGTAGCGTAAGTATTACTTTCCCAAGTATGTCGTAAGGTCTGCCATATATAAACTTTTTTAATGGGACAAGCCCGCCACAACCTTCCGAAACCGCTGCAACTCCATATACGACCATCAAAACACTGGAACCCTGAAGTCCAGTGCGTCAACGAGACGTTAAAAACTGTGTTGGTCCCCGCAACGATAAAAATCAGAAGATATTATAAAAGGAGAAAAAGAGAGCCATAATATTATATGAACTGCTCGAGCAGTTACCCAGGGATTTAATGTACATATGTTACTAGAATAACTTCAATTTAACGTAAATAGTGAAAAATGTTGTTACATTGCACAGTGGCATTAAATGCCGCAATGTATACCTCTGCCTACCCCTTAAAGGGGATAAAGGGCATGAAGTTGTGATGATGATATTCGTAGAAGTTTGTAGTTCACTGTAATGTAACCGACCCTAACTGCTTTTAGCAGTCCGCGTATGGCAGGGCTAAGAGTTGACTAAAAGATAACATATTTGGCAGCAGTGGTCTCTAATAAATCTGAACCTTTTGAACTGTTTTTGCAACTGTCGATATAGCGGTACATACATACATAACTTCACGCCTGTCTCCCATGGGGATAGGCAGAGACTAGGGAACGCCCATTACTACGATTCCTACGCACCTCTTTCGCTTCATCAACAGTCATCAATCTTTTCATGCATGCTCGTCGGTTAAGGGTACTTTTTTAATATATCGCCAATCTGGTCACGATATGTCCGCCTAAGGCGCCCTCTACCGACGGCCCCATTCATATCCGCTCTGTATACTTCTTTCGTTACTCTACTTCCATCCATCCTTTCTACATATCCAAACCAGCGTAACGCTCTCTTTTCAATCCTTGTCATTTTTCTCTAATAACACTATTTTTCACTCGATCACTCAATTTTAGTCCACACATACTTCTCAGGGCTCTCATTTCCACCGCATTGATACTGCTTTCATGCTAGATAGCGGTAAACCTTCTTAATTAGAAATGATTCATATTCCAGCAGCAGACCGTTACAGACTGTTGATCTTCATCGTCATCATCATCATAATTAGCAATAAGACGTTCTCTGCTGAACATAGAACTTCCCTAATATATGTTGTTAACGTATTATAACGTACCAAAAAGTCGATAAATGTTGTAGTGTCAACAGCTTGGTTGAATATCGATTAACATTTGCAAGTACATCAACCTTTTTCCTCTGAGATAAGATTTTAAATATAGACATTTTAATACCGCAATAATGGTATCACTCAACAGATCTGAGTTAACCTTTAAATCTTGTTTGGCCAAAAATATAAAAGAAAATATAGAATGAACAGGAACACGTCGCATTTAGGAAATCTTAAATAGCTCAGAATGAAATTTTTATGAGGAAAAGGTTTAACTTTTATTTTTGTCTCCCAACTGACATACATATATTAAAACCGTTTTTTTGTACATAGTATGACTGACTGAAATGCCTTCCCCGAAGGTAAATGTTTCCTGAAACATTTTGTTCATAAACGGTTTCTGTAACACAAACCTTTCAAACCTCGACATGTGCCGTTTGCAACAATTCAAGGCCATCGCTTTACATAGGTGCAAAAGAAAATACTCGTCTTTCAAAAGGGGTATAAAAACGAGCTTTTTAAGTATTATAATATGTTTGTAACTGAGAATAAAATAACCAGAAAAGATAAAATAACATAACATCACGCCTTTTATCCTCGAAGGGGTAGGCAGAGGTGTGCATTACGGCACTTAATGCAACTGTACAATGTAACACCCGCACTTTTCACTATTTATGTTATGAGTCCCATGTTATAGGGGGTTAGCCTATTGCCATATACCGAGCACAATTCCAGGCTCCGTGCTACTACTGAGATTTATTGAAAATGCCCAGTAATAATTTGCCCGATCCGGGAATCGGACCCGAGACCCCTTGCCCGGCAGTCGTAATTGCGACCATTCGGCCAACGAGGCAGTCCACAAAAGATATCACCATTATAATCATTTATTTAGTAGTTTGTAGTGACCCGACTCGACCTTAAGCATGACAATCCATAATATACCTTCCAGACAATAAATAAAACCACAGAACGACATCAATATTCCTGTATCATCATAAACCTATACACATGTATATAAGGTTTACATTCGATCGCAAAAAAGTGAGATAAAGTAAAATCCGCCTGAAATATAAATGTGATACTGGCAACAACGTTTCCCAATTGATACGAAGCTCTTTCGAATGGAAACGTGAACACATGAATACGTGTTTGGTTACGTTACGTTATCCATACTTGACAGATAGAATATACAATACTTTTATAAAACGGAGGCAAAGTATTATTCGGTTTTGTTGACTTTGAGATGAGTCACGAATGGAGTTTCTTGCTCGTTCTTCTCCATTCGAATTTACATTTTGGAATGGAATACAAACAACAAAACTATGTAACTAGATAATTGTATTATGAACCTAATTGAAAAAGAGTAACCTATGGAGTTTCTTGCTCGTTCTTCTCCATAGGACTCTACACCTTGGATTGAGCAAATAGCTTCACTTTTAATTTTTTTTTGTTGACGTTCAAAAGTGCCTTTCTTCTAGTCTAATAAATGAATAATGAAAATAAATAATTATTTTGACTTGACTTTGACTTCGAGTACCTAGTTTCGAGATTAGTAAAACTAGTGCCTCATTTAAAATTGTAGATTCCTATTGCTAAAAACGACCATGTAATAATGACGTCTTCTTAGTCCAAAGTTGTTACTAGCCTATGATTCTGTTAAACGCTTTATTTACATGAGTGACTGAGTCAGCGAATAATGATTGGACTAAATGAGATGGTTATAACAATATGCAAATTTTTGTCTGTTCATCACGTTTCTCGTCTGGAGAGCGAAAGGAACTTTTTACTTAGTTCCCTAATCGTTGTAAGTAGTTAGTGTGAAAGATATTGATGGTGATGTATCGTTTATTTTGTGTACAGTGAAACTGT